ACGAAAAACAACGGCTCGCGTTTAGCCCAATAAAACTCGTTGTTACCAGAACGAGGTATCGTCCTCGAGATTCTCGTCCGAAGGAAAATTCATTTAGTTAGTTAGAGATTTCGTTGGGAAAGCATTGCAGCCTTCACCGACATCGAGGATAATTTCTACGAAAGAAAAAGTGTACGAAGCATCGATTCAAGTAAGTTGATACTTCGCAGACAATGTAAACTTAACCTAAACTTTTTTTTTTTTAGTGCATCTTCACCACTCACCGTGTCTATGGACCGTCTTTAAAGCATTTCTTTAGAGAGACCTAACTTTAGAGAAACCTGAAACTAACCTAAACATAACCTGAACCTAAATCTAATCTAAATCTAACCTAGACATAACTATCCTTCCGCGTTCGCAAATCCTGTATTTTCGATTCGCCAACGACACAGTTAGAATCGTCTTTAGAAAATGCTTACACTTTCGCGGTATAAAAATGAAGAAAAATCATAATCAAGGTAAACACGTTGATAATTAAATGGATAAAATTAGAATAGTCGATGAAAACCTAACCTAAATCTAATCTAAACTTAACTTAAATCTATCTTAACCTAACTTAAATCCTCCCAAGTTTGCGAGTCTTGCATTTCATGAAGACGACTCTAATGTGTCGTCGACGACACAATACTTACACTTTCGCGACATAAAAATGAAGAAAAATCATAATCAAGGTAAACACGTTGATAATTAAATGGATAAAATTAGAATAGTCGATGAAAACCTAACCTAAATCTAATCTAAACTTAACTTAAATCTATCTTAACCTAACTTAAATCCTCCCAAGTTTGCGAGTCTTGCATTTCGTCGACGACACAATACTTACACTTTCGCGACATAAAAATGAAGAAAAATCATAATCAAGATAAACACGTAGATAATTGAATGGATAAAATTAGAATAGTCGATGAAAACCTAAACCTGATCTAAACCTAACCTAACTTAAATCTATCTCAACCTAACTTAGACCATCCTCCCAGGTTTGCGAATCTTGCATTTCATGAAGACGACTCTAACTGTGTCGTCGACGACACAATACTTACTACACTATCGCAACTATATATAAAAATGAAGAAATGTCATAATCGAAACAAACACGTTGATAATTAGAATAGTCAATGAACGAAGACCTAACCTAAACCTGATCTAAACCTAACCTAAACCTAGTCTAAACCTAAACCTAACCTAAACGTATGATTTGCCCTTAGATAGGAAAAGAACGCGTTTATCCGCGTTTATCGGCAAGAATGTTTCAGTTTTGTACTTCAGAGAGAGGGTATGTCATGGTAGTCATAGTAAACTCCAGCTAGGAAATAACACTCTACGCAGCACGTACATTCGTACGCAACGTGCAAACGATGTCAGACATCAGGCTAATTGGCTTACATCGGTCAACCACGCGTTGATTCGACCGCTGAATTGATCCCGGTGGAAATCGGCAGCTAGGCCTCCATTTCGAGGCCTACATACACGCGTGAGTAGGTACTTGCACACACGCGCCTCGAGAATGAACGATAACTACGTACGGTACTGCGGATAAGTGATATCTACGTGCAATTCCCTACGCCAAAAAAAAAAAAAAAAAAAAAAAAAAAGAGAAAGATTCTCGTCGCATTTGCACGCAAATCTAATACGCGAGGAAATTAATTTGATCTGTCGCGGTGAAATTCTGTCGGGCTCGTAATAATACAGCGCGTAATATTCGATGAAAACGAAGCGGTGAAAAATGCTGGAGAAGGAATGGAAAGCCGGGAGATGAATTAGGAAAATCTAAAATCGGCCGAAGATCCAAAGTAAATTCCCCCAGTAAATTCCTGAATAAGTGCATGCAGTCTGATACAATTCTGATAAGTACATACAATCGTCTGATTAATTATATTCCTAGTAATTAGCAACTTGTTGATCCCGATGGAACTGGGCAAACGTTCGAGAGCCCATCGTTTACGACATCGTTCACGAGATTACGTTCCCGTTGTTGCACGTTCTGGCCCTCGTCTAATTGGAAATCGCCGCGCGCCGGCGTTCCAATAACGTATTCCCGAAGAATACACACGTTAGAACCGCGTTGCGTAACGATGGGGGACTTTCGTGGACTGGCTGGCTAGAAAGTGAAACTTCGTGTACCGCTCGATTCGTGACGCGCTGGTTAAGCAGGCGAAGAACCAGCGCAACGACCAGCAGAGAAATATTCACGGAAAGTGTGGGGGAGGGGGGAGGGGGGGGGGGTATTCCCGTCTCTC